AAAAAATAAAGCTGGATCCCTATTTCCTTTCACCAGAGTTATTTCAGATGGTCATAGATTTAAGTATTAAAAAAAAGAAAAACTGAAAGTATTAGAAGAAAATGTTTTTGTTTTTGACTGAGGAAAATACAAAACCCAGACACAATAAGAGGTGGATAATAGTAACTCACACATAGTTGGTGGGTGCAACTTGGCAACATTTATCAAAATTAAACATGCCCATACACGTCAACCCAGCAATTGCATTTCCAGGAATTCAGCTTAAAGAAACACTTTGTTGTACATACATACAAAGCTTTATGGTGAAAATGTTCTTTATGGCATTGTATGTGATAGCAGAGAACTGGAATGGCCTAAGTGCCAATTTATCAGACAAGATTAAATATACTATGGCACAGCCCTTAGAAAGATTGACATGTATCTATCTGTTCTATTAGGGACATTTGTAAGTGAAATATAGTATGTATAGTATAATCCCTTTTGTGCAAGGATCTACACATCTGTAAGCTACATTTACCTTACAGATGCAGAGAAAATTCTAGAAGTATACACAAGCTGTTAATAGTGCTTATCTTTAGAGAGTGGGACTGGGAAGTCTTTGATTTTTAAAGTTTTACATTTTTCTATAGAGTCCTTGCTCCCAGGGTTTGCTGATTTGGGTCTTCTGCTGCTTTAGAAAGGAAAAAAGGAAGGGAAGATGGAAGAATTGCTGGCAAGTGAAGAGGAGAGGGCCATGTTGACAGAGTGACCAAATCTGGGCCAACTGCTTCAGAGATACATGCTATCTAATTTTAAAAAATAAGTAATAAAAAAAAAAACATATTTAAAGTAGCTTCATGATTAAAAGAAGCCCAAGCCACAGGATTCTGAACTTGTTGGAAAAATGTGTGACACTTCTTTAAAGGTTTAAACTCTAGAAATTGTTTTGTTTTGCTTAAAGTTATTCCTGAAAATCCCAGAGAGGTAAAAAGATGAAATTCTCCCTTTGCCCCTTTGTGGTCAATCTAAGGCAGATTGGTATCCAGTTAAGGTCACATGTCAGAGACCAGGTATTTGAAAGCCTGTGTGCCTTGTATGTTCTACCTCATCAGTTTAGGCAACAAAATCAAATCATTTCGAGTCACATGTTTTGTTTTTTGTTTTTTGTTTTAAGATTCTATTTGTTTATCAGAGAGAGAGAGAGAGAGAGAGCATGAGCAGAGGGAGGGGCGAGGGAGAAGCAGGCTCCCCGCTGAGCAAGGAGCCTGATAGGGGACTCGATCCCAAGACCCCAGGATCACGACCTGAGCCCAAGGCCAGGTCTGAGCGACTGAGCCACCCAGGCGTCCCCAAGTCACGTGTTTTTTAATGTTAAAATTCACGGTACTCTGAGGTCTACCCAGCAAGCTGAGTCCAGGTTTCCCTTGGGGTTCTCCCTGGGTATCTCCATTGATATAAGGGTCACTGATTTCTTCCAAAGGGATCCTCCCAAGTTGCTAATGGCAGGGCCAGTCAGCCACAGTGCCTGGTCAAACCTCATTCTCTGTTGCATTGTGGCTGCCAGAGGTCACTGCCAAGGCCCAAGCAGCATGGCTTGGCTGCACAGGCTAGAACAAATGCCTATTCCTTCTTGGCTGTGGCTACCCAGGGTTAGAAGAGGTCCTAATGTTAACCACACAGTGCAAAAAGGCCAGTCCTCTCCTGCCAGCACCCTCCAAGCATGGACACAACCCTTGCTCTTACTCTCCCGAAGTACAGCGAAGGGCAGGCTGCAGACAAAGGAAAAAAAATCACAGTCAATAGCAGTGTCTGCCAATACCTAGCAATGTTTGGGGCCATTTTTTTAATTTTTATTTTTGGGGGGGCTACTTTTTAAATGAAAAGAAAAATCTTGTTAACTCTCAAATGTAAAATTAAATTATTTAAATCATGTTTTTAATCATGTGTAAACACAAGATTAGGCATAAAGTCCTTATTCTCACAGCTTTTCTACACTTACAAATTAAAACAATTTTGCAAATTAAACTAACAAAATTAAAAATTCAATTAATATTATGCATGTAATGTAGTAGATGACATTGTTTTGCTGAAATTAAAGTGTCCCTTGTGATGAGAATACGAAACTCATTTCTATGGTATGGGTTTTTAAGGGCATGCTTATAATCAACTTAATTATCCGACATTCTTTTCTGTTTGAATTTCTGTGAAACTTTTGTACGGTGTGCCATGCGGATGCTTGATCTTCACTTAGCCAGAATGCTGTCATTTCCACAAGAAGTATTCTATTTTTTTCCTCATTTGCCCAAGAAAATTAAAGTTACAGTCCTTGGTGCCAAATACAAAATCAAGTGGCAGTGTTTGGTTACAAGGTGGTCATCAAAATGATCTAGAATAGGCATATATTAGTTTTGAATGATTGTAATTTAAAGAAGAGCAAAAATGTATATATTTTTGTAGTTAATTTGCAGTATATATGATTCCATTTATATGAAACGTCCAGAGTAGGCAAATCTATAAAGACAGAAAGTAAGTTAGTGGTTGTCGGTTGGGGGAGGAGGGAGTGGAGAGTGACTGCTAATGGGTAGGAGAGTGTTTTGGGGTAATGATGTTCTAGAAGTAGATAGTGGTGATGACTGCACAACTTTGCAAATATACTAAAAAAGCACTGAACTGTACGCTTTAAAAGGATGAATTTTATGGTATGTGAATTATATATCAATTTTTTTTTTTGGTCGTTGGGAGTGTTATCTGCCCCTCCCCCCAGATAAATGATAGCCGTGAGATTTTTTTATGAATTTCTAAAAAGTGACTTCATAGTTTTCCTAAAGAATAGTAGATGGATATGAGGCTTACATTTGTTTATCTAAAGGGCTCATCCTGTGCAGTTTCCCAAAACAAAGGGTGTCCCCTCCAGCCTCTCCGATGTTGAGACTCCAGCTGTATTTATATTACAAGTCAGATACAAAGACGATTGCCCTCAACCGTTTACCAGGTAGTAGTGGCAATAAGATCCACACAGGGCTAAGTATCGTATATATTAAAAAAAAAAAGAAAAAGAAAAAAAGGAGGTATATAAACCAAGAACTATAAATGTCAAAGGAGGAAGGAATTCTTACTTATGGTGGAAGTACCACATGATCTTTGGTTGGAGGATGATTGGAGGTTGATAGGTGGAGATGGAGTGAAGAGCATTTTATTAGGAGAAATAGTATGAACAAAGGTATGGAAAAATGGAGAGCTAGAGGCCAGAAAGCATATTAGGGAAGGATGAAGGAGTACTCGCTGGAACTAAGCTCTGGGAAGGAAAGTAATCCAAAGAGGTAAAGCAGGAAAAATATGGACTGACAAGCTGTCTTTTTTTTTAAAGATTTTATTTATTTATTTGAGAGAGAGAATGAGAGACAGAGAGCATGAGAGGGGGGAGGGTCAGAGGGAGAAGCAGACTCCCCGCTGAGCAGGGAGCCGGATGCGGGACTCGATCCCGGGACTCCAGGATCATGACCTGAGCCGAAGGCAGTCGCTTAACCAACTGAGCCACCCAGGCGCCCAAGTTGTCTTTTTAAAATGGAAAAATTGAGCGAAGGAGAAGGGAGTCAGTAGAAATCTCTGCCTTTCACAGATTTGTATAAATTTGCAAGATTTCACCTTGTAAAAACCAGCCATGATTAATTAAATAGGCATTTTGTTGGCTTGGAGAAAAAGTGATACTTGTATTAATTCGGCCCTGGTGGGGTACTGAAGCTAAGAGCAAGGAAGAGCAAGAAGGGACCAGGCTACAGGAGCGGGCACTAATAAAAAGGATTGCAAAAAGAGGTGTGCCTGTCCCCAAATCCCTCCTCCCATCATTTAAGCTGAGATCACCCAGCCCGTAGGCATCAGTCTTATCACAATGAGTTTGTATCATCAGTAAAATATGAATACACCTGGCTAAAAACCCTGGCGTGACAACACCAAATTCATATGCATTAGAATGAATTCATTCAATTTTTTAAAAGCACACCATTCTTGGCACACAGAAGGCACCCAGACGTTTGTTTTATAAAATAACATTGTTCTTTGTTTTAGTGTCTATATTTAGAAGAGGAAATGATTCAAAACTGCATCCTAAAACCTGTATCCTCTATTAGCATTGAGGTTGGGACGCCTTGGGGCCAAGAGGTCTGGTTTTCCCCTTTAAAACATAGGTTTCGGCCCCTCCGTCGAGTCCCTTAGGTCAGTAGGTCCAGCAGGGGTCGCAGTTCAAGTAACCAATCGAGGCTGGGCCATGGGGCGGGGTCACAGCGCTCCGCCCCTCCTCCCAGCCCTCCCTTCTCAACCTACCCAGGTCCGGCCTCCATCGCACCTGCGTGTCCCCCCGCGCCCGCGCTGGTGCAACCTTTCCAGCCGGCGCTAGCGGGGAGGATTTTGGGCTCGCCTCTCGCGAGATCGCCTCCAGTTGCGGCCACCGCCGCTCCTGGCCGCTGAGTGGCGGCGTCTGCGCAGCCGCCATGTTCGGTTGCTATGCTGTGGCCTGGGAGACGGGGTGTGCTTGAGGGAGGAGGAGGAGACGGAGGAGGAGGAGACGGAGGAGGAGGAGGAGGAGGAAGAGGAGGAGGACAAGGAGTGGGTAGATTGAGCTCCTCTTGCACTCACACACAAACGCTGCCCAGGATTACTCGCCTGCTCACGCCGCGCTGCGCGCTTTTCCGCTCCTCGCGGCCCCCCCACATTGTTCTCTCAGGACTCCTGGGTCCCCAGGGGCTGAATTCGGGGCCTGAGCCGGGGACAGGAGAGACTTGGCTTTGGCGGGAGGGTCGGAGGTTTGGGGCCAGGTTCCCCCGCCCAGGGGCTCCCCTCCCCCACAGCACTTTGGGGGGTGTGGATTATCTCATCCCCGCAGGGAGGTGGGAGAGCGCGCCGGCCGCC